CATTCCCACTTTTCCCTCATCCATTCCCGCTTTTCCCGCCCCTCCATTCCCACTTTTCCCCCTTTTCCCTCCATCCATTCCCATCCATCCTTTTCCCCGTCTTTTCCCTGTTTCCATTCCCACTTTTCCCATCCTTTTCCCCCTTTTCCCTCCATCCATTCCCACATTCCCTCCATCCATTCCTGGTTTTTCCCATGTCCATTCCCACTTTTCCCTCATCCATTCCCGGTTTTCCCACCCCTCCATTCCCACTTTTCCCTCCACCCATTCCCACTTTTCCCCCTTTTCCCATCCATTCCCACATTCCCTGCATCCATTTCCCTGCTTCCTTGCCTACTTTTCCCATCCTTTTCCCTCCATCCATTCCCACATTCCCTCCATCCATTCCTGGTTTTCCCCCTGTCCATTCCCACTTTTCCCACTTTCCCCATCCATTCCCACATTCCCTCCATCCTTTCCCACTTTTCCCATCCTTTTCCCACTTTTCCCTCCATCCATTCCCACTTTTCCCTCCAACCATTCCCACTTTCCCCCTCCATTCCCACTTTTCCCACTTTTCCCTCCATCCATTCCCACATTCCCTGCATCCATTCCCGGTTTTCCCTCCATCCATTCCCCCTTTTCTCTCCATCCTTTTCCCTCTTTCCATTCCCACTTTTCCCCCTTTTCCCTCTGTCCATTCCCACCCATCCTTTCCCCCATCTTTTCCGTCTTTTCCCCCTTTCCCCCTTTTCCCTCCATCCATTCCCATTTTTCCCACATTTCCCCCTCCATTCCCTGTTTTCCCATCCATTCCCACATTCCCTCCATCCATTCCCGGTTTTCCCCCCGTCCATTCCCACTTTTCCCCCTTTTCCCCATTTCCATTCCCACTTTTTCCCACTTTTTCCCTGTTTCCATTCCCACTTTTCCCATCCTTTTCCCTCTTTTCCCTCCATCCATTCCCACATTCCCTCCATCCATTCCCGGTTTTCCCTCCACCCATTCCCACTTTTCCCACCCCTCCATTCCCACTCTTCCCACTTTTCCCCCTTTTCCCTCCATCCATTCCCATCCATCCTTTTCCCCGTCTTTTCCCTGTTTCCATTCCCACTTTTCCCATCCTTTTCCCCCTTTTCCCTCCATCCATTCCCACATTCCCTCCATCCATTCCTGGTTTTTCCCATGTCCATTCCCACTTTTCCCTCATCCATTCCCGGTTTTCCCACCCCTCCATTCCCACTTTTCCCTCCACCCATTCCCACTTTTCCCCCTTTTCCCATCCATTCCCACATTCCCTGCATCCATTTCCCTGCTTCCTTGCCTACTTTTCCCATCCTTTTCCCTCCATCCATTCCCACATTCCCTCCATCCATTCCTGGTTTTCCCCCTGTCCATTCCCACTTTTCCCACTTTCCCCATCCATTCCCACATTCCCTCCATCCTTTCCCACTTTTCCCATCCTTTTCCCACTTTTCCCTCCATCCATTCCCACTTTTCCCTCCAACCATTCCCACTTTCCCCCTCCATTCCCACTTTTCCCACTTTTCCCTCCATCCATTCCCACATTCCCTGCATCCATTCCCGGTTTTCCCTCCATCCATTCCCCCTTTTCTCTCCATCCTTTTCCCTCTTTCCATTCCCACTTTTCCCCCTTTTCCCTCTGTCCATTCCCACCCATCCTTTCCCCCATCTTTTCCGTCTTTTCCCCCTTTCCCCCTTTTCCCTCCATCCATTCCCATTTTTCCCACATTTCCCCCTCCATTCCCTGTTTTCCCATCCATTCCCACATTCCCTCCATCCATTCCCGGTTTTCCCCCCGTCCATTCCCACTTTTCCCCCTTTTCCCCATTTCCATTCCCACTTTTTCCCACTTTTTCCCTGTTTCCATTCCCACTTTTCCCATCCTTTTCCCTCTTTTCCCTCCATCCATTCCCACATTCCCTCCATCCATTCCCGGTTTTCCCTCCACCCATTCCCACTTTTCCTCCTTTCCCCATCCATTCCCACATTCCCTACATCCTTTTCCCTGTTTCCTTTCCCACCTTTTCCATATTTTTCCCACTTTTCCCACCCTTCCATTCCCACTCTTCCCACTTTTCCCTCCTTTTCCCTCCATCCATTCCCATCCATCCTTTCCCCCATCTTTTCCCCATTTCCATTCCCACTTTTCCCATCCTTTTCCCCCTTTTTCCCTCCATCCATTCCCACATTCCCACTTTTCCCTCTTTTCCCTCCATCCATTCCCACATTCCCTCCATCCATTCCTGGTTTTCCCTCCACCCATTCCCACTTTTCCCCCTTTTCCCGTCCATTCCCACATTCCCTCCGTGCTTTTCCCTCTTTCCCTGGTTCCTTTCCCCCTTTTCCCTGCACCCATTCCCATTTTTCCCTCCCCGCTTTCCC